AGCATATTAAATAGTCATTGATTAAAAGTAAAGCCATGGTCTATCAGTACCCTCAACAAATTCAGATTATTTCATGTGAAATATAGTTCAGCAATATAATAAATGGTTAATCTATATTAATCAAGTAGAACTCACCAGAAATTCCACCACTGAATTTACTGCATAAAAAGAGCAAGAGATAATGTTATGAGAGAATCAAATGATCCTAATAATTTGAATAATTTGATTACTTTGGTCAAAATGGCATATTAGATTGATTACTTTGTGGCCAACATGCAATTAATTACTTTGATTTCCCAAAGACACACCATCTTTTGTACAAATGAGCAATAATCATCTGATTGTATTAACCAAGACCAGGATATTATCCAAAATAATTAAATATAATTAATTTTGCCTTCAAATCCAAATCTTCCCTTAAGACACAAACCATGGAACTTTGAGTTTGTTTTGTGAAATCAACCACATTTTTAGCTTCTACCGTTCTCCTTTCTTTTGCCTTATTTTTCTCTACTTCAATTTCACATTATCTCTTTAAGTCACATTAAATTATTAGAGCTCATTTTCAGAAAACCTCTTTCTTCACTGTATACCTGAACTGCGTATTCATTTAAAAGCTCTTTAGTGGGTCCTGAGGCTTCTTTCACTTTGCTTCACCATTTAATTTAAGTATGACCTCACCCAAGAGACAACCTAATTAACAAAACATATTTTAAGTTATTCTGGGGTGGTGTGATTGCTCTAAAAATTTATTTGATGTGTGGTTTATGTTCATGACACTTCTTTAGAGTGTAAAACACTTGAAACACCTGCATTAATGTTCTCTGAAGAAGAGAAGAAGTGAATGTATGTAAGCACCTCCTTTCTTAGGGTCCCTGGTTCAGTTAGCTAGTCTTCTTGAAAATATTGTGTTACTTTTAAAGGATTCTGGCTTGCATATCAAACTTCAGACAGCGTTACTACTTCACAATAGGTTTAAAAATAGTTTGTAATGACATTATAACATCATCTCCTTTCGATTGCCTAAGGCAAGGAGTAAGCTACTAACAGCATAATTTTGTAGAAAGGTTTTGAAGCACTCTTGTAGAAAATAAGTTTCTATAATGAATTGTATTGATCCTGGGATCAAAAGTAATAGCTCATCCATCAAATGACCTAATTGATAATAAAATACAGTTCAATGTTTCCTACATCAAAATTAGCATCAATATATTGAAAAGAAAACTATGGTAATTTTTCTCAGTGACTGTGAAATCTCTTCTCCACACACAGCCCCTTTATTGATCAAAAAGCATTATGATTCAGCAGTAGATTGAAATGGGAAAGCAGTCGACAATGTGGAACCTCATCTGAAGCTCCTGTGTTCTTGCAAAGTTGCAAGAGTCAAAAAAACCTGCCCCCCTACACTCATTTTGTCTTCTGAGAAATGACTACTGTCATTATGAATGACAATTGCTGTCATATATTCTGAGATAGACCCACCTCTACCCTTCCTCAGTGAGTAAGACTCCCTTGTTTTCCTGTCTTTTTGGATTTCTGGGCCCTCTTCCTTAATTTTGAGATGTTCCTCATTAGTGTATATCCTTCCTATTGTGATAGCCTGACCAAATCATCTCAATTATCTGGTGCATTTTTTCTTTCAGTTTCTTCACAAGAGAAAACACAGTGTTCAAGTTCTTTGTTAAACTCAGGGAAGTCAAATTGCAGTTGGAAGGTGATAGGACTTTAAAATTAAGCAAGGGGTGCCTGAGTGGCTTAGTCGGTTAAGCGTCCGACTTTTGCTTGGGTCATGATCTCACGGGTTCGTGGGTTCGAGCCCCGCGTCGGGCTCTGTGCTGACTGCCAGCTCAGAGCCTGGAGCCTGTTTCGGACGGAGTCTGTCACTCCCTCTCTCTCTGACCCTCCCCTGCTCATGCTGTCTCTCTCTCTCTCCTAGAAATAAATAAAACATTAAAAAAATAAAGAAATAAAAATAAAATTAAGCAAGACTTTACAGTTTGAGTGTTTTTTAAAGCAATGAATACAGGGAAAGAATAGGTGGCTCCATCACACAAATGAAATCGCTGGATGTCCCACTGGCTGGGTTGCCTGAGGCCCTGCTAGGAAATAGCATCAGGTATAGAACAGCAGTTAGAATAGCAATTTCCTTACCATTTTTTTACCTTGTTTCTTTGAAGGCATTGTTAATCGTATTGGAATTTTGACCTTAATAATGGCTACAGAATTAGGTATTCTTTCCTCATTAATCTCCATGTTAAAAAATTGTGTGTGTGTGTGTATGTGTGTGTGTGTGATTTGAATAGGCTTAGGAGCAGCACAATACAAAATGATAGACCTTATTCATGAAAACTAATCCACCTGCAAGAATTAAGACAATGCAACCATAAATGATGATTCTACCGCAACTCATATGCAAATATTTGCAGTCTCAGTTGCTCTCCTACTTACAGGGGCTTGGAATGGCAGTAACAATCATGGAAGAAAGCAGAATTTCAATAAATAGGACTGCTTTAAATAGGTATTTTATACAATGTCTAAACTTCTTTTAAAAAGGGAATACCAGTGCATATAGTTCCATGTAAACAGACTGGTAACTGAGTCTGACATGGCAGATTGTAATGGTAAATAGGAATTCTTATAAAGGAAATAAATGCTGAACTTCAGATATAGCTAAAAATTGTATTTGTTTCTAAAATAATTTTACTTCTAAATATTCTTTATGTTGCTAATTGCAGCCCATTATAATCACATACAATAGGAAATAAAGCCAATGTCCCACAGAAGATGGGTTACATAAATTATGCTACACTCATTTAGTGGACTTCTCTGCCGCACATAAAAATTATTTTGCAGGAAAAAATGGCATAGAAAGTTGTTTATGAAAAGAATGTTTAAACAAAGCTGTATTTTTAAAAAATGTTGCTTATGATCCAGAGAAGAAAATCTGGCTACAAATTGCCTAAGTTAAACACATTCCCAATTAGAATGTAAGTTCAATTAGTTAGGGAGTGTCCATCTTTACTGTATCCCCAGCATAGTGTTTGGTGTGATATAAGTGTTTAAATTAATAAATGCAAGTATATACAAATTATTCCATTGGAAAAATATACATTATGCTTAGAAAAACTCTAAGAATATGCATTAAAATGTTAATTGCTTGGGCATGACATGGGTGGATCAGTCAGTTGAGCATCTGATTTGGTCTCAGATCATGTTCTCAGGGTTTGTAGGTTTGAGTCCGGCCTCAGGCTCTGTGCTGACAGCTCAGAGTCTGGAACCTGCTTTGAATTCTGTCTCTCTCTCTCTCTCTCTCAAAAATAAATAAACATAAATGCTAACTGTTTCATTCTGAGTGGATTGTTTTTGCCAACTGGTTTTTTTTTTATTTTAATAATGAAAATGTATTTCTTTTGTAATCAGAAAACAATAAAATTAAGTTAAAAATATTTTTTTCACAGATTTTCCAGAGAAGTTCCCATAAAATATCCTGTTTTATATTTAAGCAGTTTACAAAGCTGGCTGGCTTTTTCTTAAATCTTAGAAAGCAGCTTATTTTCTGAAATCCTCACATTTTATCCAAGCTTATCCCTCAGTGAACAATCACATGCAGTCTGTTCTGGATTGTGATCAGTAAATGAAGTGAAAATCAAAATGAGTTAACTATTATATGCTGTCTGTCACTCATACATTTCCAAGGTAACTGTGATTTCACTCTTCTTGAAATAACAGAGCCAGAAACATTGATGCTCCTTAGTAGAAATGAGGTTCCCAGGAAAGTTGTATCTACTCTTCTACAAGCCACCAATCTGGGAAGATGAAAAATGACCAAAATCCCAGGGGCTCATTCTGATTGTCTAATAATTCTCTTGAGCAGCAAACATATTTTAGACATTACGGAAAAATGCAAAGACTGTTTCTAAACATTAACAAAAGTTACGTTCGATCGGTCAACAGCTGTGCATTAATACTCCTCAAGAGGAATGGTGAGTGTATGAGTAGTGTGGTGGGGACCCAGTCTTCCAGCCTAGAGTGCCAGATGTATTCAGTGATGCATTTGATTTGAAATTGTGGAATAAATATGCCCAGGGGAAGCTTTAGAGATCCTGAATGGTATAGTTCAAAGTAGAAGAAAAATAGTAATATCTGAAGAACCTGAGAGAAGAATGGAACAGTATAAATTTATTCTGTTCATTTATAGATTTTTCCTTTTAAAAATTATTTTGAAAGATGGGGGGTTGGGGAGAGCGTGAGAGAGCTGAGGAGGGGCCGAAAGAAAGGGAGAGAGAGAATCCCAAGCAGGCACCCCACTGTCGGTGCAGAGCCCAACTCAGTGCTTGGTCTCACGAACCACAAGATCATGACCTGAGTGGAAATCAAGAGTTGGATGCTTAACTGACAGAGCCACCCAGGAACCCGTCTTTTTTTTTTTTTTTTAACATCACTTATAAACAGAGTATGTCAGAATCAGAAATGTTAATGCAACTGTAGTATTCTCCTCAAATAATAGCTACAACTTCTCAAAGAACCGCCTAGCATATTAATCTACTCTGTATTTTGAAAATGTAATCCTATACAATTACTATTCCTTTTAAGTCAAGCTTAAAAACCATTAAGTAGTTTTCTAATTTATTTACAGTCTATACATAATTAAATGGAGAAGGGTTTTAATAAATTATATTAGTTCAATTTTGGACAGCTTCCTAGAAAAATATAATCCTTGGAAAATTCTGAAAGAATTGAAGAAGTTGTATTAAGAAAATAGAATGAAGTATCCCAGAATTAGCCTATCTGTGAGGAAAGTTATGATAGAGATGGGATTTGCCTTTAAAACTTTTGTGCCCAATAGGAAAATAAGTTTCTAGAACCCTATGTCATTCACAGCAGAGAAGCAAAATCAATTGTTATTGGTAAGAAAGCAGGAAGTTATTTGTCTTTTAACCTGGCATGAAATAATTCAAATCATTTTGGTTCACTTTATGGTGAAATAAGTGGCAATGCACTGAAAGTAACACACCATTTAATTTATTTTCCTTAATTCAATGCCAGAAATCAAAATAGGAAGGGAAAATATTTCATACTTCTTACTGAGGGCTGATCTCTAAATGGAATCTTTTTCACAAAATACTTAACACAAAAGCATGCATGCTTCCAGTCTACAACATGAATGCTAATCATTGGAGGGTTTTCTACTTAACGAACATTTATTTAATACCCACTTGACCTAATTTACTTGGTTCAACTAATGTTACTATGGGATTACTATGGGATATATAAATTTCATTCAATTGTTCACTCAATACCATGTCTGGAAGCATCTTCAGTTGTTTATGAATTGAGACTCCACATCCCTTCATGGATGTACTTTTCCTTCTTTGGTATCCCCTTTTCAGAACTCAACACAGTGTATAAGCCTCTATTTTACATCTATTGTATTTGTTATATTATTTGATAGCTACCCATTCACTGTTCCTGTGAGGCTATGCACTCACTGATAGCAGGAATGCCATTTTGTATTCATTTTTCACTACATAACACCTAATAAAGTACCTGGCACATATAGGAGGTCAATAAAATTTGGTAAATATAGTAATTAATTTACTAAATGCCTCCAAAAAGCCATGAAAGCTCTAACTCAACTATAAAATACAAGATACTATTACTAGAGACTGACATATTAACATTAGGATTGGAGCAAAGTTTAGATGTTTGCTCTTGGACTCAGTAATATATGAAATTTAATAGTGAAATAAGATAAAAGACTTGATTGGAGATGGACAGGGAAGCTCTTCATGTACATCTTAGCTGCGTGAGTGTCCATGGTCCCACCTTGATGCTAATGTTCTTTCTTCCTCACAAGGATTCAACTCCGTTAGGTAACCTGGCACTTAACTAGAACTAAGGAATCATTGAATTATTGTCATAGCCCAGCTGTATTTCTTAGTCAAATACAAAAAGTTTACATTTAGAAAGCAAGGAGGGTCCAGGTGAAGTAGTTACAAAGCCCTTTCCTTGGGAAATTTTTCTGTTATATGCACACCTGTGACTCTTATGTATGGATTCAAATTCTCCTGGGACCTTAAACTTTTCATAGATGTGAATCAGCCAACTTTCAAATCTTCTATAGGCCAAGAGAGGTGACTAGCTGACTCCAAGTTTAATCTAGTACAGTCCAACTCATAGTCAAGAGTTATTTGTTGTTGTTGTTGTTGCTGTTAACATAATCTGATTCCAGAACAAGTATTACACATTAGATTCTCTTCCTCACACATATATACCCCAGTAAAATAAATTAAATATAATATACACAATAGGAAATAAAATCCTTGAATAAGTGTCAATGACATGATTATTCTCCAGAATGATTCTACCAACATGCCCTCCTGAGGACTGTCTTCTCTTTATCCGAGATGAATCTGTGCTGGGGCTACCTGTGGATCTTCCTCTCATGGAGTCCTCTTCCAAGTGTAGAGAAAAGGAAGTCTGGTCCATTTCAGTCTTGCTGTCATGGTAACAACCATCGAAGGCCATGGCTTGAACCGCATCAATATTATACATTCCAGAAATCTGACAGAAAGACTTTTTGTTAGTAAGCCATGAATATGGTTCTATATGTAGTAATTACAGTAAAAGTCTAAACAATCAGGTTTTTAAAATAGTTTCAATAAATGCTAAGAATGTTTTGCTTATTTTATTTTTTTAAGTTTATTTTTTGAGAGAGTAAGCAGAGGAGGGGCAGAAAGAGAGGGGGACATAAGATTGGAAGCAAGCTCTGACCCAACAGCAGAGAGCCCAATTTGGGGCTTGAACTCATGAACCGCGAGATCATGACCTGAGCTGAAGTTGGACACTTAACCAACTGAACCATACAGATGCCCCTGTTTTGCTTATTTTAAAGAATAGAATTCTGGTTTTGCTTTTGGTATCTGACTCAAAGTCATTTTAATAATAAATGGAAAACATTATCATAGAGATCTGTTTCTAATAGGAATTTAGCAAGGTTTATTATTATCTCCATAGAGATATTTGAACATTATACAAATAAATGTTTCACAATTATAATGTCAATGTTTTCTAATTTAGTTTTGGCCTGATAGACTTTTACACTCAATGCATGTTTCCCCAGAAGGGAACACTGTTTCAGGTTTCCCCTTTTTTTCCTGCATAGTATGAATTGTTGGCCATAAGTTTGAATTGAAATTGAATATGATTTATCAGAAGAGAGATATAAGCCAATTGGATATGCTTTTCAACATATTTTTCTCTTTAGAGAAAACACAGTAATATGCCCAGTCAGTGTAATCTTTTGTCCAAAACCAGAACAATATCATCTGGTGATCCACTTATGCTTAAATTTGCAGTAGGGGTAGGAAATGATTTGAGCTGCTCTTTTCAAATGCAAATTGGTCAAGCCTTCCCATTTTTGCTAAGAAGTACCTATAAATGATATCAATACAGTCCAATTAAACAACTTGAAATCGGCTTATTTTTCAGAAGGAGAGAATGAATTATCAGTGCTTTCTGGCTCCAGTGCCCAATTGAATTTAAACTACCGTTTTCCTTAAAGGTTTTACTCTGAGGGAGATGGTGGCTCTCACTGATACAGAACTGTGTCTAGGAAGCAGGTGTTACTAATTGCTTTCTGAGAAAACGAAATCACTTCTTGATCTATAGGGAAGTTAAAAAATGAACAAATATGAACAGGCTTCCGCTGTCTGAAATTATTCGGAATTCAAGTTGGAGGCTACAGAATAAATTCTGCCAAAATATGTATTTGGTTCACAGCAATTTAAAAAAAAATGAATATTTTACTGAATTCAAGAGGCATAGAGAATATTTTGTGCAGTCAGTAAACTAATCAAGGGCTCATAATCAAGTTATGTTGTCCTTTTTTGTTTTAGCCATAGAAACTTTTCATCATAAAATGAAAATGGATCATATAACATAAAATAAGATCAGGACTCAAAAACTAACTTCATATAATAAAAAATAACATTAATAATATTTTCAACTCTGGATCTGGAACGGAATAACTAGTATAGCCTCTTCAGTGGTTTTACTATACCCACACAGAACACTGCTGGATTATCCTACTGGACATTATGATAATTTAGAACCACTCATATAATTGGTTAAATCTTGCAGTATACAATTTACCAGTATATAATTTTAATTTTAACAATTTTATAAGTTGGTTGTTCTAATAGAAACAGTTTTAGAATGGGTCTTTAATTTTTCACTCCAGCCTACAAATAAGCACATACCTAAAGCATATTATATCTAAAGTATGGATTTGACTGTTTTATATGGGGTTCTAAGTCCTGGAAGTAGGAAAACATTCAGATGAAAAAATAAGAAAGAAAATCACTTCCTTCTTCCTTTCTGGGTAAAGGTCAATAGTAGGGACAATTTTTCCATGACCCTTGCTGTTCTCTCAGCTCTTGGCATTTGGGGGACTTTGGGTAAGAGGTGTGATGATGGTGCTGGCAGGAAATGAACTTTGCTTAACTTCATGATTTCATTGGAAGGAACTCCATAGCCTAGCCTTTCTCTTTATCCCTCCATTATTCCATCCTAGAGGTTTCGCAGAAGGAATTGGCAAGTGTGTCTCAGTTCCTTTTGTGTCCACACTTTGTGATCTGCATTGGTATATAAGTTTGTTCTCTGAGATGAGGTAAAAGGAGACTGTCCTTACAGGGAGAGTCCTGAATTGTCTAGCTTCACTAGTGACCGAAAGGGTAAGTAAAGGAGCGCCTGGGTGGCTCAGTCAGTTAAGCGTCCGACTGCAGCTCAGTTCATGATCTCTGACAGCTGCTGAGTTCGAGCCCCGCATTGGGCTATGTGCTGACAGCTCAGAGCCTGGAGCTTCCTTCCAATTCTGTCTCCCTCTTTCTCTCTGCCCTTCTCCCTCTTGTGATCTCTCTCAAAAATAAGTAAAACATAAAAAAGTTAATAAAAAGGGGGGGAAGGGTAAGTACGTTTAGTATAGTGGTAAAGTCTTAGTGAGACCTCCTGCTCACATATCTACAGCCCTTACTCCAAACTGCTCTATCAACAACAAAGGTGACATCCCCCTATTTGCCTGGGTTCCACATCTTTCTCTCTCTAAACTGGTTCCCCACCTCAGGTATAGAGAAAAGAAGTATCACTGATTATCCCCCAAACCTACAGACATATTCTTCTACCCTGCCTCTCACCTGGGCATCCTATCCCTTTAACAAAATCTCATCTCAGACAGCCTGCTCCCACTCTCCTTGTTAAAACTACTATTCTTTCAGAGCACATGAGCTGGGCACTAATCACAATAAGAACTTAACATTTGTGTAGCATTTTACAGGTTGCAAAAGTTTCAGGTCCATGTATTACATTATTTACAACAGCCCTATGAGGTAAATAGGGAAGAAATTCCACCATTTTGAAAATGAAGAATGAAGTTCAGGAACAAAAAGCTAGGAAGTGGTGGAGTTAGGTTGGCATCACTACTTCTGACTCCAAATCTTGTGCTCTTTCATTTTGCCTCACAAATACATGAATGGTAGGTAGGACATTTCTTTGAGATAATTGTGCTTTTGAAGGAAGATGCTGAGTATAGTGGTTTCTAGAGGCCGAGGAAAGGGGAGAATGGGAAATTGTTGAATGGGCACAGTTTCAGTTTTGTAAGATGAAAAACTTCTGAAAATTGCTTGCACAACAATGTGAATATTCTTAACACTACTGAACTGCACACTTAAAAACAGTTAAGATGGTAAGTTCTACATTATATGGATTTTACCACAATTTTTAAAAATTTAAAAATAGATGGTTCTTAATTAACTTAGAAGATTTTCTTCTTAGTGGTACACAAGAAGCGTGTATACAACCCTTTGTAGTGAAAAAGAAAATTCAGGTACTGTGAACACATGTGTTGTGTGGCAGGTGGGGGTGGATAGATGTAGGCAGTTTGGAATCAAAAGTCTGGATAGGGGTGGGCCCAAATTACTACAGTGCCTCTTTCTTGGGTTAACCACTTCCCACATAAAAACAGAACAGAACAACAACATTCTTTTCTCATCACACATTTTTTTTCTCTGTCACCTTTAATTCACAGATTATCTAAATCATTGCTATTCTCAGTGCAGGCAATGGGTCAATGGCATCTGGGACTTGTTAGAAATGCAGACTCACTGCTCCCACCCCAGATCTACTGAATGAAAACCTGAACAAATTCTAGGTGATGTGTACACACCCATCACTGCATACTTGTCCAGAAGCTCCTGGTTTTCTCACACCTGTCTAGCAGTCATATGGGTATGTATGTGGTGAGGACACATATACATTGTCAACAAAAGAAATGAAAGCATCTGCAATAAAGCAAAATCAGCTCCTGTTACAGCTTTGATTCAACGGATATATAAAAGAAGAAGGAAGTAGTATTACAGGAGATCTGAATTTCAAATGCATCTCTGTTGGCTGTGAATCTTTTGGTAAATCACTTTACTTCACTAAAACTCTGCTGCTTCATTTCAAAAATAGAGATAATAATCTCTGCAAGGCCTATATCATGGAGCTAATATGAAGGTTCAATTTGAGAAGAGAATATAAAACACACTGAAAGGTAAGAAGCACTCTTACTGAGGTATAACAAATATTGAATAATGCTTTGGGTGCATATAAGTATGCATATAACAATATCTCAAACCAATGTATATTGGTTTAATGCAAATATTAAAATTAAAATCATGTATATATATGCTACATATGCATATATACAGACATACACACAGAGGTGTGTGTGTGTGTGTGTGTGTGTGTGTGTGTGCATAACCTCAAGTATAGGCTAGCAAACAGATTAATTAGGTTTCTGAAGTATAATATCTTATGTCAGTTGTCATAATAACAGGGAACTGGTGCCCCAATCCTTTGTGAAATGAAGCAGGTAGAGATCAATCTATCCATATTTATTAAACCCAGGCACAAGAGGGGCGCCTGGGTGGCTTAGTCGGTTAAGCGTCCGACTTTCGCTTAGGTCATGATCTCGCGGTTCGTGGGTTCGAGCCCCGCGTCGGGCTCTGTGCTGACTGCCAGCTCAGAGCCTGGAGCCTGTTTCAGTCCGTGACTCCCTCTCTCTCTGACCCTCCCCTGCTCACACTGTCTCCCTCTCTCTCTCTCTCTCTCTCCTAGAAATAAATAAAACATTAAAAAAAAAAAAAAAAACCCAGGCACAAGAAACATGTGATGACATTCAGAGCCCAGAAACCACCTTTTATCCTCAGTATACTAAGGAGAGAAGAACCTCTCTTTACACTCTGCCACTCTCCCAAGTAACAAGAAGAGAAATATAAATCCTAGTTCTGGTGGAGAAACACATCACTTATGGATTGAGAGCACAGCCATTGGATTCAGGGAGACCCAGAAACAAATCCTAATTCCTCTTGGACTGTGTGACTTTGGCCAAGTTACTCCCTATCTGCTCCTATTTCACTTCTGTAAAATGAGGGTTATAAAATACCAACCTCTTGGTGCTACTCTGAGAATAACATGACATGCTGTGTCATTAGGCGGTTAGCGTAATAACCAATATATAATAAACACACATTAAATGTTAGCTATCGTCATCATCATCTACTTGAAAGGATGTAGCTTACACATCAACTCTTTCTTTTCAAAGGATAGAGTTGGTGGAGAGGAGCACACTAAGAGAAATTCCTCACATGAGAAAACCCTCCTGGCAAAGGAGAATGAGGAAGCTGAAGAAACCAGCCAGCACAGGCAGAATAAAGTTCAATATTAAATCCTGTGAACTTGCATCTTGCCAAGGCATATAGACTTAATACAAGGGCTTACAACACTGTCAGGAGAGGTTACAGGAAAGGATAGTCTTTTTCACATTCCAAAAGGGATCTGATAGGTAAAGCCAGGCAGTACCTTCCCTGTATTCTTGAATTGTTTCCGCTCTTCCACTGTGGTGAGGTAGTTCACAGCCGCATACTCAATGACTGACAGGAACACAAAGAGGGAGCTGACCCACAGGTACACGTCCACAGCCTTGATGTAGGACACCTGGGGCATGGAGGCACTCACGCCAGAGATGATGGTGGACATGGTCAGCACTGTGGTGATTCCTGCCATTGGAGAGTAGTGACAAGCTCAGCGAAAAGACCACTCTGTTCTAGGATCTGGTGCTGTTATACCCAGATCGCAGTATCCTCAACGACCAGAGACCACCGGGGAGACCGAGTCATGCATGCAAAGGCAAAGGGCTTTATTATGGGCTCGAACTCGGGCTCCCAGACCTCACCAACGCAGTGGATCCGTGCTGAGAACCCCGAGCAAAGGCAGAGTAGGGTTTTTATGGGGTGTGTGACAGGGGAGCTACAGAAGTTGTGGCAGGGGAACAGTGATCCAATCATAATTACTCAACATTATTGACAGTGGGTTTAACCATACACATTGTCTAGAGTATTCGTTACTTTTGGCGGGATCCAATTACAACATTTAGAGTACCTTTAAATTCAACCAAGTACAGAGCGAGCCTAGGGTCTTGTTCGACGACTAAGGGGTTAACTTTAACATTAGGTAACAGGGTCCTATCTATAGTTTCTATCTCCAGGCCTCTCCCTTAGTGATGTGGAGGGTGGTCGCTGGCGTTTCCTGATTGGGTGTTGCAAGGGTGGTTTCTCCTGCCTTGGGCAATGTGCAACTGCCTGATAGCTTCGGGGAAGCTGAAACTTAGGCCTTCTAGTTTAGAGGGGAAACTGAAAGCCTGTCATGGAGTCAGTTTGGTTTAAACTTGTGTCCTTACAGTGCTAGTTTATACCAGGGGATGTTTTTCTGGAACACTATCAGGTGATCAAAGTTGGAAGCGGGGGAGGAAGGAATCCCTGCATGTTAACCTAGTACACATCTTGAACCCAAGCAAGAAGCTCTCCTTAGATCTGTCTTTCTACCTCTTTGCTTTGCCCTCAACCCAACTGTCCATAATGTTTCTTTCCCTCCATCTAAAGACTTCACAGACTCAAACATATTTTTAAGGACACATTCATTCATTTGCCCTCAGTTGGGCCTCTTTAAGCCATCCCAGAAAGGTTAAAATGTGTTCAATTTAAAAATTTCTTTTGGAGGGGCGCCTGGGTGGCACAGTCAGTTGAGCGTCTGACTTCAGCTCAGGTCATGATCTCACGGTTCATGGGTTTGAGCCCCGAGTTGGGCTCTGTGCTGACAGCTCAGAGCCTGGGGCCTGCTTTGGATTTTGTGTCTCCCTCTCTCTCTGCTCCTCCCCTGCTCACACTCTGTCTTTCTCTGTCTGTCTCAAAAATAAATAAACGTTAAAAAAATTTTTTTTAATAAATAAATAAATTCCTTCTGGAAAAGAAATTCTAAAACCATTCCTACTACCCTTTCCTGTCATTTTACAACTTTTACTGTTAAGAAGTTGTCTTCCAGACAATCTTTAATCTTTCATTCATCAGAGGGTGTCCCTTGTTACTGAAACTACAGTTCAGTTGAGATTTAGAATGGGGGCGCCTGGGTGGCTAAGTCGGTTGAGCGTCCTGCTTCGGCTCAGGTCATGATCTCGCGATTCGTGGGTTTGAGCCCACATCGGGCTCGGTGCTGACAGCTAGCTCAGAGCCTGGAGGCTGCTTCGGATTCTGTGTCTCCCTCTCTCTCTGACCCTCCCCTGCTCACGCTGTCTCTCTCTCTCTCTCAGAAATTTAAAAAAAAGAGAGAGAGAGAGAGAGAGAGAGAGAGAGATTTAGAATGGAAGTATGCTGGTGGAGGCTCAGTTCAGTGAAAAATCTTGCTATTTACCTGTGAAATGTCATTTACATTCCCCTCTTTCCCTCCCTTGACTGCCAGTCCCTCCCCTTCCCTCTCCTTTTCTTCCTTTCACTTCTTTATCCTCTGGCATAAGCATCAGAGGTAATGAGATCAAGGTTCTGAGGCACAATAGAGAAAGAAGTGACTCGAGATTTCCTTAATAAAATGCTGGCCTTGGGGTGGGCTAGTCTGTGTCTGCACTAATTTCTCAGAGGGACGCAGCGAGAGTGCTGCCTGGAGAGAAAGTACAGTATTGTAAATATTTGAAATGTACACTAGCTGGCACAGTTTTATTTCCTAACTTCCCACCAGGGAGGCACAAATGGAGTCCTTAATGATTTTTATAAGTTGTGAGGACATTTTAATGTCAACAGACAGAGTCCCGAACAGCAGGAAGAGCTCCGTGATTTACTCCGAAATGTACAGACACAGCATGTGGACAGCTTTCACCACACACTTCCACCCTTTCTAGAATAATTCTTCAAGGTTCTCATCTGAGGGAGCCCATATCAAAGACAATGATAGATCTACAGAGCTATTCAATTTCAAATTAAGTTTTTCCATTTGTACGATCAAAGACCAACAGGACTTGGTAATTTGGCAGTCACCACGGGGGGCCCTGGAGTCTTACCTTCACACTGATTCGAACTCCAGGATAAGAAACCTAAATACTATTCCAGCTCTTACCATTAAATGAAGGCCACTGTCTCACTGAGTCCCAGGTCTCTCCAACAACAGTAATATCAACAATCTGCATATCAATGGATGCTGTTTGCATTCCTTGCCCATAAGTGTGGAGATGTGAATGTTTTATTCCCATTACAGGTGTGTGTGTAGCTGAAGGCAATATTTTTTTTTAAATATTTTTATTTATTTTTGAGAGAGAGAGAGAGAGAGAGAGAGACAGAGTGCAAGCAGGGGAGGGGCAGAGAGAGAGGGAGACACAGAATCCAAAGCAGATTTCAAGCCCTAGCTGTCAGAAAAAAGCCCAGTGGGAGGCTCAAACCCTTGAATTGTGAGATCATGACCTGAGTCGAAGTCGGACGCTTAACCAACTGAGACACCCAGGCGCCTCTTAAGGCAAGATTACTAAATAAAACTCGTTTGCCTTTACTGAATGTGTACCCACCACAAACCTAGGTAAGTAAGTAATTGTAATTGGCCACACAATGAAGAGAAGAAATATGAACTGAGAGGGGCTAAGTAACCGGCTTGAGTTTTGTCAGGAGCAGGGCTGGAACCTTTCCGAGTGTGGAACCCATGCTTTTTATATGCAAACGTGCTGCCTCTCATTCCAGAGAGGTTTCTTTTTGTTTCTAATGTTATAAACCAGTCTCTATACATGAAGTGTCTCTAAGAGGAAGACACTGTCAGACTGAGGGTAGAAAGTTGTCAGGAGGTGTGAAGGCACCTTGTGCTTTTCAGAAAGCTAAAAGTCTTATTCCTTTCAGGACTTCACTGGTAAAAACTGAATGAATCCTGCACTGATATTCATATTTAGTAGTTTACCTTATTAGTTAAAAAAAATGTAATGTCTTTTTTTTTTTTTTTACCAGTTTTCTATAATATAGAATATCGAACGTGAGTTTTTTTTTTCCCCAATGGAGTGTAACATGGGGCTTCATGGACAATATAAAGGTTTAGAACAAACATATGGGTTTACATGCCAGATAGATCTTATTGGGCATTTAAAATCAATGACTAGTGAAAGGCCACTAAATTGATGACCAGTAAAAGGAAACTGCATTATCTATTTTCTTTTTGCCAGAGAGCAATAAACTATCATTTCCCTTAAAAGAGTACTTAGTGCAGCTAATTTACTATAGCTTTATTTATTTTGAAATCAGCATTTTAGATTTTCTTTGTGAGTAGGGAGAAGGGATTGTTTGAAATGAAAGTAAAAGATGAGAAAACTGATATATAAATTCCTAAAGTAATAGAACTTGAGTCAGGAGTGTTACATCTCCTGATTAAAAACACTTATGTCTTGAGCCACTCCTTAGAAATACATTAATCTTGACAAATCGTATTCCTTCCAAACCCATTAAAGTTAACATTCCAATAAAGGCATTTTAGATATATGAAGTGACCATTTAGTCAAAGAAAGGTTCAGTGCTAGGATTACAAAATTATCTTCTCAACTACCAATATTGCTCTGCATGGTCAGGAAAGTGTTAGGAAACAATATTTGGTCTGGCCCATGGAACTCAACTCCCGAGCCTATGCAGTTATGCCATGTTAACTCTTAAGGACACATGTAGGGTCCTAAGAACGTTTTGGTCTGGGAAGAGTTACTGATCTTTGTGTTTTATTGGCCATTTTTCTTCATATATGATAGAGAGGTTCGTTGACTGCTGTGATGGCAATAGGGCATGTAGGCATCACTTATACAACTATTGAGGCAGTTCGTCTTTTCAGCAGCTGTGTTGTGGACAGGTCTTTTGAAGGGATAGGTTTCTACATTCACCTTTAGGTGAATAAAAACATTTTCCCTGTAGACCTGAGCAGAAAGAAAATATCAAGTGATGTGAGAGAAAGGAAAGTAGGTTGGATATCCTAACACCACAACTCTATTGCCAGAAACTAACAACCACTGTTGCACAAAGCTGGTGTCAGAGTCCAGTGCCTAAAAGTTCTGGTAACCTTTATGGTGGTTAAATAAATTACTCCTAAGTATCTACTTTTTCAGGTATATGTCATATCCTCTGTTAGGAGACATGTTTCTTTATGAGTGTCTGTATACCTACAAACTTTAGTTGTCTTTCTCTGCCATGTCTGTTCCTGGTAAATGACTCCATTAATTAATATGGCATACCCAGAGGAGCCAAATGATAAAGACAGAAGAAGGAGGGAGATAGAAGGAAGGTATGAAAAGTACAGTACTACTCATCCTTCCACAAGGGTTAAAACATCCTTGAACAACTTCATAATAATCTCACTCCTTCTCCACACCAAATCAAATGGAAAGATAGATTAGTGTTTTTTAGAGCCATCCCACATTCCAAGTTATGGTAGCTGTTATCTCTTATGAAAAGTGTCTAATCACAATTGATACTTCTATGCTGTTCAGTCTCTATTGTTTTTCATTTGAAACATGACAAATGTGAAAGGATCTTAGCCAGCAAATGAGTCATCCTTACTTAGCAAATGAATCCAAATGTGGAAAGGTCTTATTGAACAATGAATCATTATTGCTTTAAGTTAATAACTAAAATATAGTTATTAAAAACATGGTGGATTAAACATCGGCAATTTAACAACTATGTATTGAGCACAAAATATGTGCAGGATACTGTACTAGTTGCTATAGGAACAAAAAAGATGGTAATAAAGATCCTTGTCCTTAAGAAACTCACATTCTAGGGGCACCTGGGTGGCTTAGTCGGTTAAGCGTCTGACTTTCTCTTAGGTCATGATCTCGCGGTTCGTGGGTTCGAGCCCCGTGTCGGGCTCTGTGCCGACTGCCAGCTCAGAGCCTGGAGCCTGTTTCAGTCTGTGACTCCCTCTCTCTCTGACCCTCCCCTGCTCACGCTGTCTCTCTCTCTCTTAGAAATAAATAAAAAAATATTAAAAAAAAAAAAAAGAAACTCACATTCTAATACAGGAGACAAGATAAGCTACAAAGGCACCCCGTAGCTATTACAAGAAAGAGGAAGTAAGGTAGAAGAGATACCTTAGAGGAGATACAAAGTGCCATGTGGCTCAAATATGGGAGAGACCATGTCTGCTGGCGCCATCAGGAAAAGCTTGTGGCCATTGAGAAATGGCAAGATTTTGACAGAGAAGGATAGGTAGGGGAGGCATTCTAGGTAGAGTAAGAACAAGAATAAAGGTACACAAGTACTATAAGCAGTTAGTCATGGGTGACTGTTGAGAACACTGAATATTCAAATTGGTTAAAGCTTAGGCAACCAATTGGGGCAGGAGTATGGTTAAAGGTACAGCAAATAAAAATACAGGACACTCAGTTATATCTGAATTTCAGATAAGCAACAAATAATGTTTTAGTATAAGTATATCCCATGCAGTGTTTAGGATATACTTATATTAACACAGTATTTGGTGCTTATGAAAAACTCAAATTCAACCACATGTCTTGTATTTCATCTGGTAACCCTCAAGAGACACCCTGGATTCTAAGCTGAGAGTATTTACTTCAATGTCATATGAGATGAGAATGTTGTGATCACAGTTGAGTTAAGAAATATTACTCTGGTAGTAGAATTGAATCGTGGCAAGAAGACTAGGAAGTGAAATAAGAAATTACAAGGCCTATACAAGCCCATACTGCAGCTTTGTGCAAATTCACAAATGGTGCCCTTTTTCTGGAAGATATCATCCCAAACCATGTCCCATAGAGCTTGCGCTGGATTTCTGCTCCTTACTCCCATCTGGATCAGATGTCACAGCCTGGCAAGATGACCCTGGGAAGGTAGGGGTCTGTTAGGGCAATCCAAGAAAAACTAACAAGGGTCCCAGCACTGGTCAAGGGAGGAGGAATGGAAGAGAAAGGACAAGCACATCTGAGGACTTTTTATAGGGAAGGCTAACTCTGAAGATTTAGACACCTTATAGGCACAGTTCCCAAAGTGTAGTCAGCGGATCCCTTTGGCTCTCCACGACATTTTCAGAGGGTCTGTGTATTGAAGATGAATTTCACAATACTAAGACACTGTCTGCCTCTTCCCTATGTTGATATTTGCAATGGTGAGAAGCACTGGTAGGAAAAGCTACTGTTGCCTTACCATGAATTCAGGCAGCAGAACCCAACTAGTCTACTGACAGTCACTGTATTCTTCAACTTTCAGTAGATGCAAGAAGCACAGAATTTCAGGGGTGACTTAAATGCATTTCAGTGTTTTCCATTCACCCCAGCCCATCCTGGAACCAGCTTTTATTACTTGCCATTTTCAAAGTGTAATAGCTGAGTAGTCAGGTTCAGGAATCTGATTGAAAATCATTAGAGACTGAATGTCATTCTCATTCTGTCTTGAGGACTGGAAATGTGTCTTTAGTCTCCTGTTCAGTTCTACGCTGCCCCACTGCCGCACCGAGGTCAGGGCACAACTGTTCTGATGTGAAGGTACAGCTGCAATACTTTAATTATGCATTCAGATGGTATTTTTTCCCAAGAAGATATTCAAGCCTCAAATGCTTGTAGATTGAAGCTTTTAATAGGGGAAAGAGGTGAACAAATTATTAATATTAATGACAATTTATGTCTTTCAAATGATCTTTTGAAGTATGCGTGTAATTTGTGAACATTAACTTAGAAATCACCCTTTCTGGAATGAATTGTGTGATAATTACTATGATTGTGAAGCACTTATAATAATCTTGTCTCTAGATAGAGCATTACAGGTGAAAGAACAAAATCAGCTGAAATGAGGGAGCTCTACCCTGAACCAGCCAAGAAGGCAAGTGGAATTGACTCTTGGGTTCTCGTTAAGTAACGTGTTATCTAAATGCTTAGCCGGGCATCCTGCGCTTAGTAAAGAACATAGTACCTGCTAAGTGGGTCTGAAGTGGTTCCCCTAAATCAGTATGTGTGACAGTGGCATATAACATGCTAGGTGGAGTAGATAATCATACTACTTCATGAAGTGGTGACTTCATGAAGCTGGCAAGGTCTTTCCACTTGAAATCGCTTGCCAGGTAAAGTGCCACAATAACTGAAATCTCATTGCAGTTGATTCTGATTTTGGAGTTTAGGTTAAGGCCCAATTTCAAATTAGCATTGTCCCCATCCCAAGAAATAATCTATTAAGATACCAGTGGTATAGTGGTTTGAAGGTTCTGTTTTCTATGATGCAAAGGTTTGGAATGCACAGCAAAGTGGGTTTGGGCAAGGGATGGGGAGACTTCCTGAAAGTGAGGAGATAGATTTGTAAGGTGAGGCTATTTATGCTTCATAATTTCATAATTTATCCCTATTAGTCAGTATTTGGTCAGCTGGTGCAGGCTTCATACCTGATGTCTCAGTTCTCAAGGAAAGAGTCCAATTACAGTATGCCCCTGAGGCTGTTGAGATCAATGTTATGACCTGAATGTAAGACTCTAACTATCCCTACTAAACCATCACTCTTTTCCTCTCAACTTTTCACACCTTCTTATTTACCTTCATTGAACTTTCTCTGATATTAGCATTTCACAAAGATGCAGAAAAAACTTACCCAGGGAAACTCTTGCAGGAACAGCTCTTCGGTCAATCCAAAATGAAACCCACGAAAGCCTTACCATCAACATAGCTGGGAAATAGGTTTGTAACACGAAGAAGAAGATATGTCTCCTTAGCACAAAATTGATGAAAAGCCTATTGTACCAACCTGTGAGACAAAGCCAGAGTTTTCCTTAGAATAGTCTTCCACATGAAAACATCACACCTCGTGAAAAGACCTGCTTCTTTAAACTCTAAGCTCTTAAGGAACATGGAACTGAGTACACTCATCCTCATTTCCTGAGCAGAGGACAGGGCCTGGGCCTGGCATTCCATCAAGGTTTGTTGAACTAAGTGGCCTGCAGTCTGTTTAATTATGTGATTCAAAGATTCTCCTTAAATTTCATAGCTGCTGTTCAGGAATGAACGGTGATCATATTTTGTGGAATGGCCTTTAAAGGCCTTTCTTCAAAATATATCGTGTTCACATCATTTCTGCAAGTGAGCCAGCCTTCAATACATGACTAATAACTGCATGCAATAGCCAATAAACCATTTATTAGCTATAACAAATGAAAGAGAACATTTTATCTGAAGGAAAAGGTTCACAGTAGCTACTGAGTCATTGGATTCCAAGTTGGAACCCAGACAGTGAGGGATTCATAAAGGGAGTGGGTGAAAGGAATACCTGTAAACTGTTTGTATTATTTCAAAGTCTGGTGGGTACAATTAATTTATGTATAATAAGCCTACAAGAAATAACCAAATGATGATGTTTCTTTGCTTCTGGTTGGAATTATATAAACTCATGTTGGTAATATTGATTAACTCATGCTGATCAGAAGTAACAATTGTGGCCACATCCACACAATTTTCACACTGGCTGGAAGGAAGGTTAAGGCCAAAAAGCAAGGGACTATTAGGTTAAAAATTATAAAACAAAGTTATAAGTATTGCAAAGTTAGAGAATCCTTCTACTAGTCTCAGTAGTAATTTCTTAGGAAACTCAAGATGGCAAACTTATTAGATAGAACAGGTCAATATTTAGGCATTTAGCCTAAAACATATACTTAACAAATCCACCCTGAATTGGCAGAGTTTCCTCTTATTATTCTCTTCTCAATTGTGTGCTGATGACCTTTCTTGTCCCCACCTGTTCTGATGTTTGCTCTCATCATCAGTTGATATGTTTCAAGAATATCGAATAATTTCATTACCAAGGTTAAGAATAGATACATTACATAGTGCATTCTCAAGTCAGAATATACATTATTTTTTAAGCTACTCAGTGTCTTGTATTACCCATGCCACAGCCCTGCTTGATTATTGTGTGCCTTTGAGAGTTTAAATATAGCTGCGGAGTGGAATGGCAGTCTCTCTGATGTTACAGCTTCATACAATTATTTTGAGATTAAAACGGATGAGGAAAAGCTGTGAAAGAACTTCATAAAGACATTCTTAGGATATGTGGTTTTAGCTATGACTTAAATTTTGGTAACATGGTCCTTTCTTTACTTGTAATTTTCTGAAGAATAAATTTGTTTTCGGCAACCAAGCAGGAGAAATGCTGCTATGCTGTGTAGCTCTTCAGGACAGGGGAGACTCGAGGCAGTATTGTGGTTGAAGCTGCAGGCCAGAAAGAGCTCCCTCCACCAGCAGGAAACATGGTGCTTCCTTGGAAAGATGGTGTAATAAAGAGACTGACTCCACTTCTGATACTTGACTACTCATAGCTCCCAAACCCCGCTGGTCCTTCTCCTTCTGTCTCACATCTGGGCAAGCTAATAAGAAAGCTGGGTGCTCCTATTTTGGCACCCTTGGAACGTTCAAATCATGCAAGGGAGTCCTCCCCCAAGTGCCCCCCCTCTAACCACCATTAAACCCTAAGCCAGTCGCCCTACCCTGTCTTCTCAGGCCATTTTCAAACCTACTCCACACTCTCTTGAAAACTTCATTATGTGTGTCATAAATCTCTTTATGCCCTTTTGCTATGTGTGTAGCATCATCAGTTTTCAAATCTGAACCACATTCTGGGTGGAAGGGTCCATCAGCCTCCATCAGGTTGCCACACAGTAGAAAGAAGGGGAGTTTATAACAGAAGAAGAGGGCTGGAGTGTTGGCAGCCAGGAAGATGTAAGAGAGGGGAAGTGATTGAGGAGTTAGTCCTAAGACAAGGTTCAAGAAGAGTTTTATACCTGGAAACTGCCACCTTTAATGGGTGGTTGATGCTAAAGGCCTCAATCTGTGTCAAAAAGATCAAGATGATTATGAAAAGAGTGATGATGATAGCTACTATCTAATATTTATTGGTTATTTACCATATGACAGACAGTATACTAAGTTATTTATAGCAGAATGTATTCTAAATTATTTAAATGTATTAAATCATGTGTCCTCACAACTCTCTGAGATAGAGAGTGTTACAAAAGTAACTTAAAGATGAAGACATTGAGACTTAGAGAGATAAGGCAACTTGCCCACATTTCTAGTAAGCAGTAGAGCCAGGATTTGAACTCATGCGGAATGTCTCCAGAACTTACACTTTTAGCCAGTATGTTATGCTGCAATAAAGAATAAATGTCAGTGCAGTCTTTAGGGGCAGGAATAATTTTTTTTCCTTCAAAAATCTACAGTGCATGATCGTGAGGGACATTGAAGGGCATGAGGGGGCGGAAGACCTCACCTGCTTGTCACTATTGCCAGGGAGTGGTGAAGAAAGAGCCAAGGGAAAAAATTGGGGACCTAATGTTCAGCTATCAAACAGAAACTAAAGTTGCACAATGCTAACTATACTTCTGGTTCTCCACACCAGAGCTGCAATACAGTTTTTTCTATATAGCTGATTTGGCAGTGCAGGTTATGGTGGTTGTTATAATGATAGGAATGTAGACAAAATAAATATAAAAAATTATTTTTGATGAAGCTAGTATGTTTAAACAGGATACTAACCTGAGAAAAACACTTGGATTTTTCAGGAGATTTCATGGATAATGTGAGGCAGAACTATCGGATGCTTGTAAGCTAAAACAAATTTCTAAATGTTGATCTTTCTGAAGCCTAAGAATGGTTGAATAAACTCGGATATGATTAATAACTTGATATTTGACTAAAACTCCCAAAATGCTTTCCTCTTATAGTTTTTATAGTCTTAGAGCCCTTTTTAATCTTTCTCATTAAAAATGTATACATTATAACAAATTTAAAAATACGGAAGTGTTGGGAGTGCCTGGGTGGCTCAGTAGGTTGAGCATCTGACTTAGGCTCAGGTCATGATATCACGGTTTGGGAGTTTGAGCCCTGCGTTGGGCTCTGTGCTGACACCATGGGGGCTGGAGCCTGCTTCAGAATCTGTGACTCCCTCTCTCTCTACACCTCCATCACTCACAGTCTACCTCTCTCTCTCAAAAATAAAAAACATTAAAAACAATTCTTCTTAAATACAGAGGTGTTGGGGGCACCTGGCTGGGTCAGTCAGTACAACATGCAACTCTTGATCTAGGAGTTGTAAGTTTGAGTGTCCCATGTTGGGTATAGAGATTACTTAAAAATAAAATGTTTAAAAAATATAGAAGTGTTGAAATAAAATTGAAAATATCCTCAATCTAGGGGTGCCTGGGTGGCTCAGTTGGTTAAGCAGCCAACTTTTCAGCTCAGGTCATGATCTCATGGTTTATGAGTTTGAGCCCTGCGTCAGGCTCTGTGCTGACAGCTCAGAGTCTGGAGCCTGCTTTGGATTCTGTGTCTCCCTCTCTCTCTGCCCCTCCCCTACTTTTGCTCTGTGTCCCTCTCTGTCTTTCAAAAATAAACATTAAAAAAAAATTTTTTTAAAAACAAAATATCCCCAATCTGTACTCAATTCTCTGAAGTATCAATTGTTAATTCTTCTAAAAAAACCACATGTATAAATCCTTTTTAAAATAACAAATATGGGATTATATATACCCTTCTATAATATGATTTAAAAATTTAAAAATTTATTGTGGATAATTATCTCTAATGCTATACAAACCATATATATTTAAACTTTTTTTCATTTTTTTTAGAAATCAAAAATTTTTTTCTTAAAAATGTAAACACTGGAATGTTAAGAAGTTTTAGTGGATTTGAAACACTTAAAAGCATCTTTCTGAGCAGGAAGATTTTCAATGTAAATATTCTGTCTGGCTCTAGACAAATTCTAAAACATGACCAGAAGAAGAAAAATCAACTAGTGTTGGACCTGCCTGATAGCGCTTAAAAGTCTGGAAGGCACAAATAAAAGACAGCAGAGCCAATGCAACAGCACATTGATGAAGTAAGAAATTGGAAATCAAATTTAATCTTTTCTTTTTAAGAGGGTAGTTGGGTGTATATTAATGGATACTTGGGCTTCAAATCTGAAGAAATGTCATTGTTATGATTATATATGTAGCATATATTCTATGCTTCATATGTATGACATTTTTTAAATGCTTATTCATTTTTGAGAGACAGAGCACAAGCAGTGGAGAGGCAGAGAGAGCCTCTCTGAGCTGTCAGCACAGAGCCGATGCAGGGATGGAACCCATGAACCATAAGATCATGACCTGAGCCAAAGTCAACACTAAACCAACTGAGCCACCAGTCACCCCATGACATTTTAATAGCTTCAAACATTGCAAAGACCTATTCACAATTTATCATGTGCCAAAGTTATTTCATCATAACAACAGCAAAATGAAAACAGTTATAAATTACACATTGACAGGTATCATTGTTCATTGCATGCACTCCTTTGTTTAAATATTAATTAAATTTATGACTAAGAACATTAAAAATCCTGATAAAAACATACTTATACAGTTGGCGCTTGAACAACGTAGGGAGTTGGGGTGTAGTGGAAAATCTGCACATAATTTTCTAGTCCTCCCAAACCTAACTACTAATAGCCTACTGCTGTCCGGAAGCCTCACTATAATGGAACAGTGGATTAAGACCTATTTTGTATGTTATCTGTATTATACACTGTATTCTTACAATAAAGTAAGCTCATGAAAAGAAAAGATTAAAAAATCATAAGGGAGAGAAAATACACGTGCAGTACCTTAATGTATGCATTGAAAACATTCACATGTAAGTGGACTGTGCAGTTCAAACTTGTGTTGTTCAAGGCTCAACATTATTTACTCATGCAGAGTAAGACAGGAAGACAGAGAAAAGAATAAAAAGAAAATATAAAAATAATAACATAGTTTATCTCTATGATGTTGGATTACAAAGCGTTTTTCTTTAACCTTCTCTGAATTTGTTTCAAGTTATCTGCCTTTGCTCAGTAATTACCTATGGAACATCTAGTATGTGCCAGGGGTATGCCAATGATCAAAACAAATAATATGTATCACTTATATAATCAGAAAAGGCCATAAGCATTATTACAGTTAATAGCATTACCTGCTGAATCCTGAGCAATGTAGACAAATAATGAAGTGAAATAGAGCATTTCTTCTGGATCTAAATAGCTAAATAGCTGTTGGTGCTAGGAGTCCCTCACCTTCTCTGATATAAATTTTGATTTCTCTCTTAATGATTCAGACTTTTATTATTTTTTTAATGTCTATTTATTTTTGGGAGAGAGAGTACATTAGCACATGAGTAGGGGAAGGGCAGAGAGAGAGGGAGACAGAGAATCTGAACAGGCCCCATGCTGTCAACACAGAGCCCAACGTGGGGCTCAAACTCATGAACTGGGAGATGATGATCTGAGCTGAACTCTGAGGCTTAACCAACTGAGCCACCGGGGCACTCCAATGATTCAGGCTTTTAGATAACAACTTGATAACTCCTCTCCGGAGTCTAAGGGCAGAGTAAAGCACCCTCCAGGGAGAAAAGTCAGTAGGTAAAAGGATTCTAGGCACTCAGGGCAACATACATTTTCTAGCCTATGTATGGCTTTAAAAATCTAAAATGGCCTTTTATATGACCTAATAACCAGAGAAGAGGAAGCTACTTCTAACTTAATCAACATATAATTTTTAAATGGGCTCACATATAATTTAAAAAGTGCCTTGGATACATGTTGCCAAATGAAAAACATATCTGTCATAGTAAAGAATATACAATATAGGCCCAATATTGAGTAGGTTTTCTATTCTGAGCAATGACGAACTTTACTGATTCCTTCAACAATACTTATTGCGTACATGTGCTGCCAAAGTGAGCACAGTGATATTTATTGAGTATCTATCATGTACCATGCCCATTCTAGATGCTGGGGAAGAAATGGTGAACAAGACAAACAGATTTCTTGCACTCTTTTTAGTCAAGCACTCAGACAATAAAGCAGTCAAACAGAAATCTATTTCAGGAAGTGTTGCGTGCTGTGAAGACAAATACAGACAGGGAATTGTGAGGGAGGACGCCTAGTTTAGACGGGACGGATAAAAAAGCACTCTCTGAGGAGGTGATATTTGAACAACACCTGGTCATGAGAAAGCTGGGGAAATAGCACTGTTGCAGAGGGAGGAAAAGTCCAAAACAGAAGCCCTGCAGATAGAAAGAGAGAGGTGTGTCTGCGGACAGGCAGGAAGGCCAGCATGGGGAGTGGGGGATGTGGTGGAGGGGAGCAGGTTGTAGCAGGTGAGGTCAGAGGTAGATGGTGTAGGCCTTGTAGGCCATTTGAGAAGCTTGAATTTTGTCGTAAGTGTGGCAGAAAAACCCTGGAGGGTGTTAAGCAGGAAAGAATTGTGGTCTTTATGTTTTTAAAGAGCACTCTGCTGTGTTAAGGGTAGACTGCAGAGGCCAGGGTTAGAAGCAAGGCATTTATCTAGAGGTGGCTGCATGAGTTGCAGAGCGGTTGTGGACTGGAGGTGGAGGAGGCCGCCTGTAAAGGAGGGACAATGTTACCGGCCAAACAGGACACTTGTGTGAATTCTGGTCTCTTCACTTGTTTCACAATGGGGGGTGTCAGTAAGTGCTGATGAACTGTCCCCATAAACCAGTGCACCTGTGCTGCTATAGAAAGCGAACCCGCTGGACGCACTGAACTCCTCAACTAAGAACTGAGACAGGGAAATGTGTTCATCAGTAGTTAAGGACTTGTTCCCATGTTCCCAGTACAGCATCAGATCCTCTTCGGTGTAGGCATCTAAAACAAGAGAATGTTTTCCTGTCATTGGCTCTTGTGTGTTCCATGAGGTCTACAGCCAGGTTTTATATAGTCCTGTATCCCCAGTGCCTGGTCCAATGACTTGTATATATTGGGTACTGAGAAATATGTTTGTCAATGGACTGATAATACACACATACCAAAAGTAACAATAATCTCCAAAACTTAGACCCTAATGACTGGCATAGTGTGAAGGCTTTTCTGGTGCCCACGTGAGGACTTAAAACTCTCCAAATAGCTGCTCCTGTTCCTGGGTGCACTGAGTGATGTCACAGCACTGCCTGTCTCCTGTCACAGGCCCGACCCCAGGTCTTCTGGCCCCGTTAGTTTTGTGGCTCTCTTGTATGAAATTCCAAAGTGAGCTGCGCTCATAAAGAATTTTTTTCTGAAATCAACTAGCATTATAAAGTTTCTAATGGATTTAGGGAGGAACAACCACTAAAATTCCCAGCACTTTTGCCACGTTATGAAAAACTGCAGTCAGCTTTTAAGATGTCGTATCAAAAACAGCTTATGAATCAAAGTGATTGACAAGGAGTTGGCTCGGATGCTCTCTGACAGGGCTTTGATCAGAGAGTCTATGTCCAGAGCTGCATTTTTCTGGGGAACCCAGGTACATTTATGGAAGATTGTGAGCTGCATGGGAACGTGAATGCCAGAGCTTTCCTAATTTGGGAAGTGTGTCAGTCTACATAGTTAATAGCATATAGAATATACCTTTTTAGGGAACTTGTTCCTTTATAACCATTGTGGAAACTGCAGAATATGTAATTATGAAAACATTCTTTCCCTGGATGTTCTCTTTTGACAGGCCTTAGTTTTCTTTTTAAATGTAATTATTTTCAACAAATATATTTAACTGATATCAAGATTTTTAAATGTTTCTTAAGAACATGCTTATTTACATGTAAGTAGGTGATGGTGTGTTCAGATCATGAGTACTCACTCCATCAGTAAGTGGACTTACAGCTTTCTAGTTCAAGGGAACAGTTTTGAGTGTCAAGAGGAAACCTGCTGAAATCCATAAAGCACATGGCTGAAACAGTTATCCTGGAAAAGGAAAGAGAAAACAAAACTGCAGATCATTTAACCATATGGCTGAAGAAACATGCAATATTGAAGCTCCCTTACTGTTTGCTTGTTTTGTGTGCCTTTCAAGAATAGTGCAAAACAGGGGTGCCTGGGTGGCTCAGTTGGCTGAGCATCTGACTTTGGCTCAGGTCATGATCCCATGGTACATGAGTTGGAGCCCCATATCAGGCTCTCTGCTGTCAGCACAGAGCTTGCTTCAGATCCTCTGTCCTGCCCTCTTTCTCTGCCTCCCCTGCTCATGCTCTTTCTCAAAATTAAATAAACATTAAAAATAATAACTCAAAACAGGCATTACCATCCATTATCAAGATAATGTATAAGGAAGCAAACTCAGGAAGGTGGATGATTTGCTGAAGACTCAGAGTTAATGAGTGAATTCATGCTCTAACAGTTGCTTCTAATCTCAAAATTTCCTAGTCAGCTCCCTCTATATTTTTTGGCTTTGATATCTTTCAGGAAAACATGCTTCGGAGGGAGGAGACTTTTTAAAAATTTTTTTAATGTTTATTTATTTTTGAGAGAGAGAGAGTGCACATGTGAGCACACATGTGCGCATGAGCAGGGCAGAGGCAGAGAAAGAGGAAGACAGAATCTGAAGCAGGCTCCAGGCTCTGAGCTGTCAGCACAGAGCCTGATGTGGGGCTAGAACTCATGAACAATGAGATCATGACCTGAGGCAAAGTCAGATGCTTAACTGACTGAGCCTCCCAGGCTCCCCTATAGGGAGAAGACTTTTAAATGGATTTAAATATCTTCTGCTTTTTCAAAGATCCAAACCTAGTTTCTAGTCATAAAGCGCTGGGTTGATGGTAATAAAAACCTATGGGTAAAGGTTTCTCTCACAAAGCAAGTTTGCCTGAGAAAATTCTCTTTCCAGGAGTGAAGAGAAAGCCTGGAGCATTTTTAGTTATAGATTTATGTGCACAATGCATAATTCAGGTGCCATTAAGCCTTGCATACTGATGAGGATTGTTTTTTCAAATTTTATGTCCTCCTAGGTTTTTCTGGCTTTAGGCAGAGGCTGCTATACTATGATCCTGGCTCAAAGTAGAAACTCTGGTACCCACAACAGCAGATCAGAGGTTTATAAAAGACCCCTGAGCAAGTCTGCAAAAAACACAAAGGCAACGGCTGCTTCTACCCATGGTGCCCTACGTTAATCAGAGAAGTAGAACAATTTTATCTTCCATGGGTTGAATTCTGTTGTCAACAGTCATGCAGCAAAATGCCAAGCCAGGGAGGTATCTGGATGACTCTGTGTCACAAAACATACTCATTTTCACATATTCCTGGTACAGATGACTTTTAAACAATGCAAGGTTAGGGATGCCAACCTTTGTATAGTTGAAAATCCTGTATAACTTTTGAGTCCCCCAAAACTTAACCACTAAAAGCCTACTGCTGACAGGAAACCTTACCAACAATGTAGGTAACGCATATTTTGTATATGTATTTTATACCATATTCTTACAGTAAAGTTACCTAGAAAAAAGAAAATGTTATTAGGAAAACCATAAGAGAAAATACATTCACTGCACTGTACTGTATTTATTGAAAAAATCCACATATCAGTAGATGTGTGCAGTTCAAGCCCGTGTTGTTCAAGTGTACTTTAAAGCTAGAAGGGATCTCTGAAGCCTTCAGGTCTACCTTCTTCATAGTATACACATGAATAAATTAACAACCAAAGTGGTTAGGGGAGTGATGGTAAATAAAAATTTATTCATGACACTTGCACTTGTTAAAGAACAGTAAGGGAGATTGTATTTAGGGGGACTACTATAATTTGGTTTATTAACAATGGAGAGAGTGGGCTCCAGTCCAAATATAACAAGGAAAAGTGGGAATTTATAGCCAAGGAGTAGGTTGGGGGGCAGTGGATGGGAAATTTCAGGGGTGAGGAGGAGATGATTCTGGCTAAAAGGACCTAACAGGATTCTTGCTGAAGGCAGGCCAGGGTGAGCAGACATCATTCTTAGGTGGTGCAAAATGAGGAATCTGATCAGATTTGGAGGGTGGTCAGATATTGAAGTTAGAGGATTCTGGCTCAATGGACTTAGAGGTAAACATGGAAGCTCAAAAGTCAGAGTCTAGGTGAGAAGAAAGTTCAGAGGAGCCCTCGCAGAGTTTGGTCCAAGAGAGAATCTCTGTCAGTATATGTCAGGTGTCAGAACCAAGCCTGGAACCAGATAACTTTGCTCTGGGCTTGGACCAGCTCTGCTGTCACCTGGAATAGCTGTATGGACAACAATTTTGAGTCCTCTTGTGTTTGGGGATTCCCCAAGACCACTCTCAGTTTCCATGATTCACTAGAAGGACTCACAGAACTCATCAAAGCTGTTCCACTGACAGCTATGGTTTATTGCAATGAAAGGACACAGATCACAATCATCAATGGAAAGGCACAGAGGGCAGCGGCCAGGAGAGACCAGGAGCAAGTTTCCAGCTGTCCTGTGCTAGTGGAGTTATGTGGGCAGCGCTGCTGTCCTAACAGTGAGTGTGACAACACACATGGAGTACTTCCAACCAGGGGAGCTACCTCAGTCTTGGGGTCCAAAGTATTAACTGAGCGTTGGTCACATAGGTCTGGCTGACCTCGGTCTCTAGCCCCTCCAGGGGTCAGGCTGATACTGGGTAGTGCAAAGCCTCCTCCATAAATCACATTGTTAGTGTAGACTTTCTGGTGTGGCCCAAGGCCTCAGGGGAAACAAAGATGTTCTTATCAGACAGGATATTTCAAGGGCTTTGAGGTTATCTCCCAGGAGCCAGAAATCATTCTTTGGAATATGCAGGGTACAATCTACTAAATTAATTCTTTCATCAAAATAATTAATTTTGAAAAGCTAAAAGTTTTAGAAAGTTGGTTCCTTGGTCAGATGCTGCCATTCTGCTTCTGATTTCTGGTAAGGCCCGACTCTAGTCCCATATGACACCTGACTTAAAGTTTCTATTGAAAGTGGAGCACCTGCGTGGCTCAGTGGGATAAGCATTGGACTCTTTATTTCTGCTCAGGTCATGATCTCATGATTTGGTTCATGAGATTGAGCCCTGTGTCAGGCTCTGCGCTGACAGCACTGGGCCTGCTTGGGATCCTTTCTCCCTCTCTCTGCACCTCCTCCCACTTTTGTTTGCTCTCTCTCAAAATAAATATTTTTTAAAAAAGTTCTATTGAAAGTGGTACTTTCCTTTTCATTGTATTTTTATTTTTTTAAATAGTTATTTATTTTGAGAGTGACCACATGCGAGCATGAGCTGGGGAGAGGCATAGAGAGAGGAAGAGAGGGTTCCAAGCAGGCCCCACACCCAGCATGGAGTCCAATGCAGGGCTTGATCCCAGGACCATGAGAGCATGACCTGAGCCGAAATTAAGAGTTGGAGGCTTAACCGACTGAGCCACCCAGGTGCCCCCTTTCATTGCATTTTTAAAAACATTGACAGCAGTATGGCAATAGCACCTTTGCACTAAAGTGAGCAAGGTGTAGAACAAAAAGAATCTATTAATTTTCTATCACTGTAGCAAATTACCACAAGCTTGGTGGCTTAAACCAACAGACATTTATTCTTTCACAGTTCTGGAGAATAGAAGTCTAAAATTAGTATCATTGCACTGAAATCAAGGTGTCAGAAAGGCCCTGTTCTCTCAGAGGCTCTAGGGGAAAATTCATTCCTTGCCGCTTACAGCTTCTGGCAGCTGCAGGCATTCCTGTACTAGTGACTCTATCACTCTATGTCTTAATGGTCACATTGTCTTCTAGTCTTTGTGTGTCAGATCTTACTCTACCTTTCTCTAAAAAGATGCTTATGATTGATTGTACTTATGTCCCAACCAACTGATCCAGGATAATTTTCCTATCTCAAGATCCTTGACTTAATCATATTTACAAAGATCCTTTCCTTCCCTTCCCTTCCCTTCCCTTCCCTTCCCTTTCCTCTTCCTTCCTTCCTTCCTTCCTTCCTTCCTTCCTTCCTTCCTTCCCAAATAAGGTAACTTCTGCATGTTTCAAGAACTACGACATGGATACCTTTTAGGGAGCCATTTTTTTTCACAGTCTTACTATAGAGTTTTCCTGGGATTTTAAGACATGAAAAAAAATTGAATTACTCGGCTTTACTATACATTTTTAGAATTACCAATAATAAACCATCAGTATGTACAGAATTCATTAGGCTAAAAGAATATATGGTGCATTAAAGATAGAGGGCTGTTATAGCATAATGTCAGAAAGAAGTGTTTTTATTTTTAAAATTTTTAACATTTATTTTTTTTGAGAGACACACAGAGCATAAGCGGGAGAGGGGCAGAGAGAAGAGTGAGACACAGAAGCCTAAGCAGGCTCCAGGCTCTGATCTGTCAGCACAGAGCCCAACAAGGGACTTGAACCCACAGACTGCAAGATCATGACCTGAGCTGAAGTCGGATGCTCAACCAACTGAGCCACCCAGGCACCCCTGAAAAATGTTTTGAATTAAAAAAAATAAAAAGGAAGTGAACAAATTAGCAGTAATTTGAATAACTATGCCTTCTTGTGAAAAATGCAGGAGATAATTAATAACACTAGTTAATCCAAGATTCTAAGACTGTTTGGTAGTGTGTGGTTGGTAAAGAAGAAAAGCAATTTTGTGTACCTATAAAACTGTGGGCCAGGCTTTTGGAGATTTCCATAATTCATCTTTATTCTGTCCCATCTTCTTTTCTATCATTCTTCAACAATACACTGTACAGGTATTGCTAGAAAACTATTCTTTAAAATCTGGACATTAGAACAAGGAAGAATCATATTTTCTGCTTGTGTCCCAGTCTTCAGCATCACTGAATAGATAGTAATATTGTGAGTTGAGTCTGAAATGTGATCCACCAGAGTTTGTGTAGACAACCCTAGTATAGAGAAGCCAAAGGCAATCCACAGCCCTCCTTACCTGAGACTGAAAAGGACATTTCCATCAGGGTACACACGCAGCATGATGTTCTCCACAGTTGTATCATGGATGAAGGATCTTTTAGAATGGACAAAAAATATGTCAGGCACCCAAATCTTTTTGATCAATCTATGGTCAAAGGTCATGCTTTTGTTTGTTGTGCTAGGAAAGGAAAGCCTCTCATCTTTCCAGGAATGTCTGAGATACAACGTCATTGTAAAGTCCTAGGCAGAGAGAAACAGAGACAAGTCAAAGCCAGTAGGAATATAGTTCAGGATGATCAATCAATGTCATTAGAACCAGATTGATTGGCATGGGTGTTAATGATCTATAAAGTGAATGGCATATATTGTATTTTCTGGTAGATTTAGGATAAATCCAGTGAGCTTGAGTTGCAGAATCTCTCCTTCATGTGGAGTCTGGTGAATGTTGAGTTTCTGGGAATCACAAAGAATTCAAGTTGGGTAAGGGAAGCCAGGTTATAACTGGGAAGCCTTTCTATGTAAGCACTGGTACATCACCTAAAGAGATCTCAGAAGAAAAGGACTTGAATCCACATGGCCCAATATTTTATTTTGACTTATTTTTTCATTGCAAATAAATATTCACTTTTATAATGTATCCATAAATTTATATTGCCTTTGTTAAAGAACAAAGCTACAGACCCACAAAATTACAGTCTCCCATTTGAAAACCTACAGTCCCACAAACACAGATACAGTTTTTATTAGAGCTATTAGTGGATCCTGAGATGGAGACAATGATTTTCTTCAGCTTGAGAGACAGAAAGAATACCAAGAAATGGTGGTTCTCAAATTCTAGTGTGCAAAAGACTTACCTATGAATTTGTTAATATGGCATATTCCCCAGAAGCTAATACCAGTATGGCTCAGGGAATTGAATTGTTCGTGTATAACCCAATTGTAAAGAGATAAGGATGCGGGGGGGGGGGGGGGGGGGGGGGGGGGGGGGGGGGGGGGGAGGAGGGGAGAAGTATATTAACATTATTTTAGCAAAAAAAAATGTGGTTAGTCAACACTTTGAGGTTTGTTTGGCTCTCAGATACTATGTTTAATATTTTCTTCGTTTGAACAGAAACTCCCCTAGCTACATCCAAGTCATTGGGTGTGGACAATGACGATTTGTTTCACCTTTTACAACTGTTTATTTCTTACTATCATTTATTTCCCAGCAACATTCAAATTATTCTTGAACTAGTTACATGTGATAGAACTTTGGCATTTATTATATAGGCAAAAGACAAATCTCAGTAAACTACAAATAAGTCACCAATTAATGAACTAGTTTGTTTGTTTTGTTTTGTTTTTTATGTTCAGAATAGAGGTACATTGTATTATTGCTCTTGGTTAGTGTGGGAGCATTAGCTATGTGTAATTTTGGATTAGGGTAAGAGCAAATAAGTAGAATGATTCATTTGTTCCCATAACACTACTCTATAGGGAGTTGTGTGGGTTACTGCATGGATTGCTTTGGTAAGCATATATTTTTAATTAGGTGTTCAGTCTGTTCTGAAGGTCACTGGGCAAACACAGAGCCTAGGAAGTGGAATAGCAGCCATTATATGTCAGTGATACATCAGCATCACCACTAGTGGGCACTATCATGAGAAAGCAGGCTGAAGAGCATGTTGAGAGGAGAGTGGGGTAAAACTCCAAGGAATTGAAAGTGAATTCAGGGTAGGACAAGTGAATGACAGGGTGGGAAGATGATAAATGAGAAGCAAAAGAAGCCAACACTGGATGTTACTGATAATTTAGAAAGCATTTTCACATTGGGCACGGAGAACCCAGTCCAGTTTTAGTTGACACTGAGTACCAGAGTGGACCTTACTCAGGAGAGGATGAGATTGGGTTTTAGGGGCAGAAGGTGGAGACAATGAGAACTTTTGATGCAGATGGGGTCACTCAGGGGTAATTTAGAGATTATGCCAGGAAAGGGGAAATGAATGCTTGCTCCTGGAGTATAATGGACTCAAGAAAATGTCAGTTAAAGCAGATTTTGGTCAGGTAAGAGCCAAAACTTTCTAAACAAGGCATTTTTGAGTAGTGAGTACTATCTGTGCTATTGCCTCTGGAGTAGGGTGGTTAAAATAAAGGAAGTTTCATACTGAACTAAAATAAATATTGAATTTGCTAATGATAAGGACTAGATGAACATTACTTAAAGATTGAAATAAGATATAAGATGTCATAAAAATTTTGCTTAAATTTGTTGGAATTTTTATATATCCTATAATTTTTCATTCAGCTAGCATTTGGATGGCAATAACTAGCTGGAGGAATCACTATAAATAAAACTATTAAGTATATATATAAAAAGATTATTTGATCTTCCAACTTAATTGATTTATGTTTTCTAGACCTGGCCTCCTTAAGAGATTCCCTACCTTATTCTCTCTCTCACCTTTTTTTTTTTTAAATACATCTTCATTCTTTCTACATTTTATCTTTAATTGTGATATTTGCATATTATAAAAGTAATATATAAAATCTAAATTCAAGCAGAAAGAAGTGAATAGAGAGAGCAAAACAACTTCAACTCTATGAAGCAACGTAGGAAAAATATATAATAGTAGCATACATAATTAAAATGGTTTATTAAAACACCAGTGACTTTGACACTCTTCTCTAACCTTCCAAACAAAGACCAGTATCTTGTGGAGAAACTTACCATTTTAACCTCTGAAATGCTGTCAATGCTTTCAATCTGGACATCTATACCCACTGGTACTGGAGACCCTTCAGAAAGAAGAATGAATGATGTACCCAGAAATCATTAAAATTATTTTGGAAACATTCAAAGCAGAGAGAGATCAATGTTGCAAATTAACAACAAATTTCTCCATTATTTATCAATATATTATTATACAGTCAATTACAGTAAAAGGGCACATGTATAAATAAATGTTATGTCAATAATTATTATATATTTGCTTATGAACAACTCAATATTTTCCTTCTTCTAGTATACTTAGAGTATAGAAATAGTGTTTTCAATGTTTTTTGTTTTAGCTAGTAGTGATTTAAAAAGGAACAATGTTTCGAAAATATGTCTGAGATTATGTAGAATTATGTGTTCTCTATGGTAAGGGTCATATTTTACAGTCAGGAAGCAGAGCAGTCATGGAGTTCATGACTGAAAAATGTGGGAGTCTTTTCTCTCTTGCCAAAAACTCAGCCTCTTTCACTTGCGCTGTGCATGGAAGGCTAGAGGATCACAGATGACAGTATAGTGCTATGCAGGGATGCCACACATTCACAGATGTCCCTTTGCAGAACTTCAGTAACCACAACCTGCAGTTTGGATGAAACAAACATCCTTAGAAATGTGTTTGAGGGATGCCTGGATGGCTCAGTCAGTTAAGCGTTTGGCTCTTGATTTTGACTCAGGTTATGATCTCATTCATGGTTTGTGAGTTCAAGCCCTGCATTGGGTTCCGCACTGACAGTGCAGAGCCTGCTTGGGATTCTCTGCCTGTCTCTGTCTCTGACTCTCTACCTCTCTCTCTGTCTCTCTCTCTCTCTCAAAATAAATTTTTAAAAACTTTAAAAAAAGAAATATGTTTGATGAGAATGTATTGAAAGTCAGTTCTGGAGAAACCTCAGACAGACAAGTGCTGAGATGTGTCTGCAGTTGGATCTCAGAGAACCAGATTGTGACCGATTCTCAATTAAATTTTATTGTCTCTGTATAATTCTGAGCTTAAAAAAATGATTTCAACTCTTTTTGAAAAAATAGAAATCTTGCTAGATAGATCCCAAGTGGATGTTTTAGTCAAGATTCTGAGAATGAGAAGGGTCAGGCTAGAAAACTTCCTTACTGACACTAATTAAAGTCTGGATGTGCTATATGTGACATACATGGGCATACAATTCAACAAAGCATCTAGTTGTTGTGTTTTAAATGTGCAACACATTATAAAACAAGATATGCCTCACCTGTCCCCCATCTGTGACTCCCCTCATTAATTGGCTGAAAATACCTTCCCTTTACTAATACAGATTCCCTTTTATGCTCCATAATATATCCTCACATCATTCCTTACTTATAGAGGTTCCATCTAGACAGGCTCTGGGCCTGTCACTCAAATATATTCCCGCTCCAGGCCTCAGGAACATCTTACTTGCATCCTAAGCACCAATGACTTTCTGCCATATTGGATCAATTACCTCTACAACATTAATTATGACAATTGTATTTAAAAATTGTTTAATGATAAGTATGATTATGCATTAACTTGGGGACTGTTCAGTATTACTCCGTTACTTATTGAGTTCAGCTCTGATGCTTTTGTTGTGTTTACTCTTTTTCTTTAATTAGTATAGGTATCAAAATAAAAATGCATGGCTTTTGAGGATGGCTTCAGGATGAGTACATCTTTCCATTAACTCCAATACTCCTAGGGACTGAAGGCCTTGGCGAGATCTTAGAGAGAGGTAGCAGGATGGTCCTGGTTAAAATTCTGGTGTTAGAGTCACAGACTAGAGTTTGAACCTGGCTTGACCACTCATATGTGATCTAGGGTTAGTAACATTTCTAAGCTTAGTTTCCTCACCTATAAACTCTCACCTTGAAGACTTATTTGAGGACTAGAAAGAATACACAGTTAGTAAACTTAATTGGCGCTCACTAAATAAATGTTATTGCTACTGCAATTCAGCAAAAATGTGAGCCTGCTCCTAGAAATACAGGCTATTCCCCCACCCTACACTCAAACATTTAGATAATCCATCCACTCCTAGATGGATTACTAGAAAATGATACAGTGCTTCTCATAGAGCGCTTATTTTATGACAAAACCTGAGAACAATTTGCATTGTGACTTGTAAGAACACCCCAATTGCTAATGGCTATTTCTGCAAGGCTGGGGCAGTCTTCTAACGCCACCACACAAGGACATATTTGTGCCACCACTGGATGTGCAACAGACCCTCAGGGTTGTTGGAAGACTGGTCTGAGAGTGGGGTAAAAACATAGCTTGTCCATTAGGAATGGAAACATTCTAGATTACTTTTTTTTCATCCTTTGGATTTATTCTGTTCTTGTGGGGATTAGCGCTTCCATTTTGAAAAAAAGTGTTGGCCCTCAGATGCCATCTGACCTCATTTTTAGCTCCTCTGAACTCCATGCCCAAGTGTACCTTCCTCTGGGGTCTGGGAATCTATACATTCTTGAGGACAATCTGGAGATTGAGGGGCATGTAAAGGCAAGATACAGAATTACAGAATTGTGTATATATATATATATACACATATATATAAATTCCAAGTATTCTTTTTATAGATAAGGAGCTGAGTCTCAAAGAAAGGGTAGTAATAAAGCAAATATATTAAAAATCATAGAATTTCTAGCCATAAACCTGAATTAAGGCCAAATTTCTGTAAATCTGTTAATTCTTCTGAGCCTTAGTTTGCTTATCTGTAAAATAGTGGGAATAATTATGTGGTACCTACCTAATAGCATCGCTGTGAGACTAAGCAAAACCATGCATATCAAGACCTTCGACTAACCCCATTCAAGTATCTTAACAACCAACTTGTTCAGCATCTATTGGATCAGTCATACATACAACATGAATAATAACAATTTCTCAAATATTTTCATTAATTCTATATATAAAGCATTTGGAATATAGTAAAAATAAATAAATATTAATCAGTATCGTGTGTTGATTTTCCAGGATCATTACCTAGGTAGTAACACACACATTTATAGTCTTTTTTTATACATAAAGATAGATCATCAGTCTATTTTTATGTATGCTGGGACAATAGTTACATAACAGTTATACATCTTATGTGGATAGTGCATTTAAAATACGTTATACAATATTTTATCCCATATTATCATTACAGCCATTTGTTAGGTAGTTGGAACCGATGTTAGCTACAATTGACATATGACCTAACTCACTCTGAGATATTATAGAGCTTGCCTGAAACCTAAAGCTGGTTAATGCAGGAATGTGGTCAGGTCCCTCTGGCTCCTAGTCTGGTCCTCTTGTTTGACAATCATAGATTATACAAGCGGCTTTCACAACTTCGCTTTTGACTTGAGTCAGTAGCCAGTATCTAGATGCTAAATTGATTTCACTTTGAAGAACCAAAGAAATCATCATCTCTAAGACTGAAACAAAAAAGCCCTTAGTGATGAGAGATGTAAAGGGTAGGGAAAACATAAAGAAAATGAGCTGCAATTTACAACCCAAGTTAAACAAAAAGCTCCCCTAAATTTATATTCTATTTCCACATAATGAGTCAATTAATCTTCTAATGCTTTATAAAAGTAAAAAACACTGCGGTAGCAGCTGGTTTTAATGTTAAAGCTAATTAGGAAAACACATTAAGGCAAGAGAAGTGCTGAAGTTACATTTAGCTCAAGAGGAAAGAAGTATGTGCGTGTGTTTATGTTATGGACAAGTATAAAGAAAGAGAAGATAAATTAAAGCTTGTCATTTATATCCTGCAGCCTGATTTCCCCCAGGAAGGCAGCCTTGAGAGAACAGAGAAATGGGTCACCAGGAGGAAGAGGCTGTTCTGACCAAGACAAGAGAAGGCTAAGGACTGTATTTCACAAAGCTACCAGAGTGACACTTCTGACTGAAGTTATGGATTTTTCTGCCTGAACTGACAGAACACATAAGACATTTGGACACCATTCAGCCCTAGTTCATGATTGTCAGAAAAATATTTTCATCGTGGGATGATTTGCCACCTGCCACTAAGTAGCTCGTTTCAATTGCATTTTTAATAACCCCACAAAGTAGCCTCATGGTTGGGGAAAAAGCATTCCCACTCAAAATAAAATCTTAAAATGTATCTCTAACAGATCAAAAGAAGTGGAAATTTAAGGTCAATTCTATGTTTTTGTTGGGAATGGGGATGGTAAGATGGGAGAGAGAATGAAGATTTAAGTGTTTTAAGGTAAGAACAGAGGGTGCTCACTTGGTAATCTACAGCCGTATTTCTCGAATTGTAAAATGTGCTCAAATCACCTGGGGATCTTATTAAAATGTGGATTTTGACTCAGAAAGCCTGAGCATGGGGCCTGAGCTTCTGCATTTCTAACTAACTCCCAGGTGATTCTGCTACTGGTCCTTGAACCATTTTGAGCATATAGCTTTCTAGAGTGTGTGTTTCAAGGTCCAAATAAAGGAGTCTGTTTTCTCTCAATCTTTCTGGCTTTCAATGATCCAAAATAGACTCATAGAAACCCTTTTCTCTAAGATAGGAATTCATTTAATTGAGGAAGGAACCTAAACTGACAGGAATTATGGCAGCGTTTTGAACTGGTGTTGAAGAGCATACATCATTTTGGGGTTCTAATTGCTGTTCAGGAGACGCCAGTTCCAAGTCATTCCTGTGCGACTGGCGCTCTCTAGTGGCTGAAAAGGCCCACAGCAGGCCAAATTTCTCTTCATATCATTTTCTCCAACTAAGTGGTTGTGGGGAAGAATTTAGAAGCTTGTATAGAATCACGGAGACCAAGGTAGAGAATAATTGTATGATAGTTGTAGAGTATATTATCCAAACTTGGGGCAAACTTTGGTTGCGGGAAAGAAACGGTCTGTTGGGAATGGAAATTGAGGGCTCAGGCATCTTTAGGAGATTTCCAGTAAGGAAGACACATTTGAGGAGCAGTGATGTGAAGAAAACAAGATAAAGAAGTGGCCCTGGAAGCAAAATACAGACACATCTTTAACCTGATTAATTTTTAGACTTCTAAAATCTTAAATTAAGTTCAGTAAGTGTGAGAAATGCTTTGGAAAAACCAAAAATGAAACTAACCAAGATTTAATCTGATGCTGATAATCCAATCCAGCAATTATCAAGTGTGATTCTCAGGCTGTCAACAGCATCACTTAGGAATTTATTAGAAATGCAATTGTTGGCCCCACCCAGATGTAGGGAATTAAAACCTGGATGTGGGGGTGGGCTCCGTAATCTGTTGTGAAGAAGCCCCCAGGTGGCTTTGATGCTTGCTAATGTTCTAGTCAAGAATCTAATAAAATCAAACCTAGACCCTTAGAATTTCAACCCAGTGGATTCCATGAAATTAAACAACAACAGACAAACATCCTTTAACAGAACAACTACCTGACGTGCTGTTTTATTTTACCTGCTAACGAGTGAGTTCTCTGAGGTATCAACAAGCTTCCCTTGGTTATAACCACAATATAGTGAGGGACACGTTTCCCCCACCCCATATGGAAAATTAAAGTATTAGTTATTTTTGAAAAAGCTGTCCCTGTTCTACAGCTGAGGGCTCCTGCCTTCTCAGCCTCACATGCACACCTCTAGTATTCTGAAAAGTTGTCAGCTCAGAAATGGTAGGAGTGGAGATTTTAGGTCAATGATAGAAGAGTCAGGATGGATTTACCAGTAAGACAGAGAGTTCAGATTAACCACTTGATTTTGCCACATCCTATGTGTCTCTGGAAAACTTGGTACCCTCTGTGATACAACTGTATGCTCTTTAAACAATCTGAGGGCAGGAAGGACGTTGTTCCAAGTATGTTCTTATATGGCCTTCTTCTGTCTTCTTTATTTGCCCTTGCATCTTGGTTCTACCACATAGTGCTTTTTTCATGGTTAGGAGCAAATCTCCTAACCTCTCTACATGTCAGTTTCTACACTGGAATATCAGGGATCATGATAGTACCTACTTCTTCAGAACGAAGAATAAGCTAGTGCATTAACAGGCTCAGCCCAGTGCCTGGCACTCCAACATTCCCATCAACTTCAGTTGCTGGAAGTGATTAAAAGAGATACCTGAACAGAGTTGTTCCATGGGGAGCCATGGCATTTGGTGTGTTAGTCCTTCCATCAAAACTAGGCACTCCAGGTTATAAGGTTGTTCAATAAGATTTTACGAATATCATTCCATAATAGAATTTACAGGTTTTAGTTGAAAGAATAAGTTGCCATATAGGCAGTATATATCCATTCACTATTTATTGAACACACATTATTTACAACTAGTAAATAGTATATTTACTAAAGATATTTATCTTCTTTTTATTAATTTAAAAATTGTTCTCATTCAAGAGAGTATCATGGTAAACATTTTTTTTAAATAGATGGTCTTTACTTGTGTTTTGGTCTTAACTGCTTCACATTTTCAGCTTCATTTTGACAGTGCAATGCATTGTGATATAAGAGTTTTGTAAAGATAACACTCACCTCCAAATCCAGGTCTCATTGCAAAATCATGGTCCTGTATATGAAGAAGCTGCTCGTATTTCAGGAGCCATGCTTTGGTACTGTCATTTTTCCTCATTCTGGCTTCTTGTTTGCTCTCCCTCCAAAGGGGGAAAAATACTTTTAAGATACATATATTTTTGATTTTGGGTATTTTGATTTAGGTTGGCCTTCTGTATTCAACATGGTATCCTCTGAAATACATACGTAGAAGCTCATTTTCTCAGCTTATATTACACTTAGACAAAGATCTGCCAACATTTACTCTTTATTATGTAAGTGTGGAGCAGGTAAGGGAACCCAACATTTGGAGCAGCTTATATAACAAACTAAGTTTGGATGTAAGGCACTATTACATAATGTAGGCAGTATTTCTCGCAATATGGTTTTGAGACCAGGAAAACCTTATCACTACCACCTTACATCCATGCATCCCACCCCAGATCACCTAAACCAAAGCCAGAGGAAACAGGGTCTAGGAATCTGCCTAGGTAAACATGTTATCTAAGTGATTCTTGGGGTCACTGAAGTCAAAGTACTTCTGCACCCAAGATAGTAAAAAACAAAACAAAAACAAAAACAAAAAAACCAACTGCAGAGTTGTAAACTAATGAAAATAGTTTACAAAGACAAAATGAGCAGAAAGTATGGGTACCAGTTGAGATCTGAATAGAATGTCTGCAATAGGCTCTAGATCCTGAGGGATGGCAATGGGAATGGAGAGGAAGCCAAAGGAAAAATAGGCGGATTTGACAATTGATTGGACTTGATGTCTGGTCCATTTGTGAAGTAAGTGAAGTCAGTTTTTATCTACAGTTATCCAGGATGTAGGCAAAGTGGAGAGTGGCCTCTCCAGTGTTCCCAGTGTCTGATCTAGGAGTTACTACCTGGGTCTATGAATATGGAAAGTTGCTGGATCTCCCTGACTCATTTTCTGTCCTGTGATACACACTTCCCAGTGATTGCTAAGTGTGGAGGTAGAATGCCTGTGGAAGCGCAGCTCCTCTGTAATTAGAGCAGACCCCTTGTTCTGGGTGCTAGAGACTCTGCTCAGCTCCTTCCAGAGACACATGTCTGCCATGCTCACTGTCAGCAGCAGCAGCAGCTGCTGCTGCAATAACATCACCAGACATTGAAGGGGCTACTAAGTAAATTCTAGTTACTCTGAATTCTTGATATGCTTTTGCATTAATTACTGTCTTCTTCAGAAAAGAGATGTGAACTTTAACATAGGACTTGTGGATGTGATTTCTTAGCTTAATAAAGTGACTTTGATGGTGAGAATTTCATATCCTAAAGCAGCTGATTCAGGAAATATGTCCAGGCTTATGGGTACCTATCACCATCCAGTGGGGTATTTAATAGGGAAGTTTCTGGTTGAGACCCTCAGAGGTTTATGTATGTATTTTTGCCATTGAGAGAAAAGGGGAAGTTGGAAGAGGAAATCTGTCTTGAGTAGAAGACAATGAGTTTGATTTTAAACGTGTCATTATATCCTACAAATAATTGAACATATAGAACTATTTCTTCCAAGGATCTCATATTAACTAGAACATTTCTTTTAAGGAGCTAGAGTGAACTATTTACTGAAAAAATAATAGTAGCTAATGTGTTTATTAGATGCCTATTATGTTTAAGATCTCATGCCAGGATGTTTTGTAAATATTAAATGCATCTGAATTTGGCATGCATCTGAATCTCCTGGCTTGCTGGGACCCATGCCCAGAGCTTCTGATTCAAGAGGTTGGGGGTATGAGAGACTGCATTTATAACAGTTTCTTGGGAGAACCACCGGTCTGGAAAATAGTAGACATTTAATAAAAGCTAGCTAATTGTTATCATTTTAGGAAAAATCAAATGTAACTTTGGTTGGAAACTCATGGAAATTTGTGAACTCCTTTGGTAATATAATACAACGAAATGGCTGTAACTCATATCTTTCTGGAAGCATTCATTTTCAGAAGCATCATGATATTGAAAAGGATAAATCTTAATTAAGAATCCCAAGAATACTGAACACAGAACTTGTATGAAGCACACTCTTGGCAAGCAGCAAAAGCACACACACCTATTCTTCTTCTTTTTTTTTTTTCAATGTTTTTTTTTTAATTTATTTATTTCTAGGAGAGAGAGAGAGAGACAGCGTGAGCAGGGGAGGGTCAGAGAGAGAGGGAGTCACAGACTGAAACAGGCTCCAGCCTCTGAGCTGGCAGTCAGCACAGAGCCCGACGCGGGGCTCAAACCCACGAACCACGAGATCATGACCTAAGCGAAAGTCGGACGCTTAACTGACTAAGCCACCCAGGCGCCCCCACACACACCTATTCTTACCTTGAGGGCTCTTCTGATGCTGAGTAAGGTGTCTCATACTTATTTATTTTTTACTTTATTTATACCTCATCAATTTTGCACAAGCGATTTTGTAGCTTCCATACCCTCTAAAAGAATTTTGAAAATCTATGTACTCATTTAGATAGATGTCAACAATTTTCTCATTATAAAATTTAAAATTACTTAAATATTGGAAATTTAAAAGAAAACTCATATCCTTCCTCTTAATGTATTCAATGAATCTAAATGCCCACATTATGCATTTTAAAATACATGAATAAACTTCACTTTAAAAATAAGAAATTTTATATCATTCCTTGCTTTCTTTGAACTTGTATGTCCATTTTATTTCCTTCAGAGAATCTTATTACCTCACCATATTTCTTTGCAAGAATATATGTATACACGTTAACTATATTAACTATTGTGTATTATGTATATACATTAGCATCTATGGCTATTATAATTAGAGCAAAGCATAACTCATATAAATGTTGATACTTACTAAAATTTTATTGGCAATGGATTTCTTAATGAAGTGATTATATATCTTCCCCAATTGCATCATGTTTATGGATATTATGCATTGCTAGTATGAAATAAATTCTAGCATTATTCTATTCTAGCACATGTTCTATTTCTATTCTTTACTTTTATAGATGAAAATATTAAAAACTTTCACATACATAAAATTTGAAGAAATTTTTTTCAGCATTGCTTTAGCAACGTAACTTGATTATTTAAATTCTTTCTTACTTACTTTCCAAAATTCACATTGTGATCTATCATTAGTAATTATTTCTAATGATTTGTAACCTGACAAATTAATTAGGTTCTTCCTTTAATTTTGTTGAAAGCAAAGAAAAAAAACATAACCTACTTTGTAAGACAATGTGTTATTTAAACTAGAGTCATCTACTACCTCCACAACAATATTTATAATGATCTCTTTGTACCTAGGAGGATTTTATACACTGGGGCAACACATAAAGTAATATTCAGGAAAAGGGAGCTATATGCCTTAATTCTGCCAAATGAGATAGAGCAATAAATTAATTAAAGGGACTCTATAAAGGAGACTGAAGACATGCTTTCAGGTACATCGATTCTAAGAAAGAAGTAAAAGGGAGTCAAAGATCAGAAATTGATTATTTTAAAACTATCTGTGGCCACATGTCCCTCTGATAGCTTGTTTATAGCCTGAGGGGTACATTATACCTCAGAAGTATAGGTGTCCTAGCTTGAAGACCCTGGCTTATGCAACAGAAAAGAGATATATGTAAAGGTTAATAAAGTGAAGGCTGAAATAGAACAAGGTCAAGAGAAGCAAATATGTTTAATAAGGGGATATTCAATATATGATGGAGCATCAGACTTAGCTCAGAGTTTTCTGGTATAATTCAATATATATATATTATTTTAAACCACTTTGTGTCTTCTGCCCTCTGCCCTCTTCTAGAAAAAAAAATAGCTCATATTTTTAGTAGCTATTGAAAGAAACCTTTTGGATAACTTCTGTCTGAGGAAAGGGCCTTATAAAAGGCTGAATTCTGACAGGATAGAGCAAAAAATCTCAACTCATGCAAAAGTCTTACATGAGCATTCTTAATCTTTGTCTTTTCCCACAAAGAATAACAAACATTGTTTAAGAAATAGTAGGTGTATGTCTTGGTAAAAGTTATCGTTTCTTAAAAAATTTTTAATGTTTATTTATTATTGAGAGACAGAGCATGGGAAGGGCAGAGAAAGAGGGAGACATAATCTGAAGCAGGCTCCAGGCTCTGAGCTATCAGCACAGAGCCCGACGCAGGGCTCAAACTCACAAGCCTTGAGATCATGACCTGAGCCATGTTAGATGCTTAACTGACTGAGCCACCCAGGCACCCAATAGTTATCAATTTTTGCTTTGAGTTAGAATCTTTTCCTTCCTGGATGAAAAAAGGAAAACTATTTCCATGTTCCCCCTCTCCTCAGTATCAGAAACTCTACTAAAGGGGCTCTGTCAGTTGAGCGTCCAAATTCAGCTGAGGTCATGATCTCACAGTCTGTGAGTGTGAGCCCTGCATTGGGCTCTGTGCTGACTGCTCAGAGCCTGGATCCTGATTTGGATTTGTGTCTCCTTATCCCTGCCCTTCCCCTGTTCTCTCTCTGTCTCTCTGTCTCAAAAATAAATAAACATTAAAAAATGAAAAGAAACTCTACTATAATTTTGTAACTAAGAAAGTGGGGGAAGAAAAGGCTGAATTTTGAGTAGTTTCTGGGAGATTAAGAGTCTTTGAGGAGGATATATTAGGCAAAGAATGAAAAAGTCCTAGAGCCAGATAAGGAAAAGCCAAAAAATCTAACTCATTCTGATGCATTGGAATTAAATAAATGGAACAACAAAAACTCATTTTAATTGAGTCACTAACATTCAGCAGGTTACTTTACAAAACTGCTTTCTGAAGGGCCTATATTCTTGATTAGTTTACTAGGATGAAACTAGTTGAAAACAAGTAGGCTGACATGAATAAACTATTTATCCAAGGAAGGATATAATTAACAAGCATTTAAAATTTTTTTAATCAAAGAGAGTTAACAGTGAGATACCAATTAAGACCATAATTACCATTTTATACCTATTAAATGATCCCAAAACACAAAATCTTAGTAGCCAACCATGTTAAAAGGATATGATGAAATAAAAACATTTATACTTTGTAGATGGCAGCATAAATATTGGCAAAACCCTTTTAGAAATCAATTTCAAGAGCTATAAAGATAATTCATATGCTTTGTCTCATAATTCATTTCCAGGAATATTATAATTTTTATTGGTACAGGGAAAATTACATGCATAAAAATATTTACTGCTGTGATTCACAACAGTGCAAATTTGAAAATAAATGTTCAATAATAAAGTAGGTAATTTTGGTCCT